ACTGAAAGTGCTTATATGTGTGTCGCATTTTGTTTTAAAAATGTTCATCAACACTACAATATTATTTCAATTGTAAGTGTATTGTATATGAACTGAAAGTGTATTGTATATGAACTGAAAGTGTATCGTAGATGAACTGAAAGTGCTTATATGTGTGTCTCATATTGTTTTCAATTGAAAGTGATTTGTATATGAACTGAAATATTATTTCAATTGAAAGTGCATTGTATATGAATTGAAAGTGTAATGTATATGAACTGAAAGTGTATTGTATATTAACTGAAAGTGCATTGTATATGAACTGAAAGTGATTTCTATATGAACTGAAAGTATAATGTATATGAACTGAAAGTGCATTGTATATGAACTGAAAGTGCTCATATGTGTGTCGCATTTTGTTTTATAAAATATTCATCATTAAAAACTTATCATACTGTTGCATACCATACCTATACAGATGAAGAAAGCCACAAGAAAGCAAAGAACCAAGGCTGTCTTGGACTCACAAGCAGCCAAACCAACGCCACCATCTCAACCAACACCTGCTGCCACAGGACAACCTGCAGATAAACCACCAACACCTGAAAATGAACCAACCATTCCATCTGAACCAGAACAAACTGTGCAAGAAGAAGATGGACAGGAAAATGGACCACCTGAAAATGAACCCGAACCACCTGTTCAGGTGGAAGAGAGGCACAAAAAAAGGGCACCCAAACGCAAATCAACAGCAAAATCACCAAAGAGAGCTAAAGCCACCAAACAATCTGCTCCTGCTCCTAAGACAAACACAACTGCATCAAAACCAGCTGCTCAGGGATCACCTAATACAAACACAACTGCATCAAAACCGGCTGCTCAGGGATCAAAGGACCAGGGACCATCGTTGCCCAAGCGCAAAGCAACAGCAAGCCCCAATGTTGAGAAGAAAATACACAAGAGGATAAAGAAATCTGCAGTTAAGAGTGAGATGAGTAAAATGCAATATCTACAAACCAGAATGTCACCAAAGTATTTTCGGACCCTCATTTCGTCTCTATCACCAGATCAACGCAAAGCAGTTCAAGATATTGGGTTGGCTGCTATGTTAAACTTGACAATATTTGACTGGGATAGCAGACTAACTAGGTATCTTGTCGAAAGGTTTGATGTCTATGAGTGCATACTGATGTTGGAAAATAATGACATGCAACTGTCGGAGGATGATGTACACAGCACAATGAACCTTCTTCCCCAAGGGAAAATCCCTGTTATTGAGGCTACTTCTGAGAATGAATCTGTTGAATACAAGAAATTGTTGGCAGCTTGGAGACAGAGGTGGGGAATAACAAAAGGTTCTCCGGTGACGAATACAATGCCAGCGGCCATTATTGAGAGAGGAGACAGTGGAGATATGTTCAAGAGAGACTTCATTGTGCTGCTTGTATCCAGCTTGGTAAAGGGCAACAGAGCACAAAAGCAACCTACAAGATTTTATACTCCATGCTTGATGTTTCAAAGCTGAAAGACTTGAATTGGTGTCAATACACATTCAGATCTTTGGTAAATGCTGTTGAATCTTGGAAGAATAACAAAGAGAGCTTTTTCACTGGTCCTTCATTGTTCTTGCTGGTAATATTTTAGTATGCACTTGTAATAATTTTCTCATTAATCTATACACTATATGCTACTACAATTACTGATAACATAACTGCTAATTATAACTTTTATTCTTTCAAACACAGTTAACATACCTTGACAAAGTACAATACAAGGGTGAGAAGATTCAAAGGGATTCCCCTGCAATAACTGCTTGGACTGAAGAAGCAGTTAAGCAAAGAATCAAGGCAGAGGTATTGTCTGGAAGATTTGGACGGGGAAAGGTACTTGACAGAGCTCAACATCAAGAACATGCGACCAGGGAAGATAACATACCTGAAAAGAGCGGTGCTCAAGTGGAAGGCAGCCAATCAAATGAGTCCCTTGGGAGGATTACATCTGTACTGAATAGGATGGCTGACACAGTTGTTGAGTTTGCTGGTGTGATGGCTGCTATAGGAAACACAAGAACTGGTGGAGAAATAATTAAGATCAGTTTTGGGAACATTGCTGACATGATTACTTCAGTCTCTTCTTCACAACCAGAACGAGATGAGACTTTATTGTATGATGATGAGCTTTACAATCATCCAAGTTTCCTTGAAGCAGTCAATGCGCTTGAACAGGCATTCTACCAAACCACCAAAGACTACCCGACTCAAGCTCCTGCTAAATCACAAACGCCACATCCGATTCAAACACCAAGTTTTGATCTTGGAATTAGCCCTATAAACTCATCACAACCTCAACATATCCCTGAAGAAATGAATGATACGCAAGCACAAGATGATACTGAAGACCAGAACAATATAAGTGATATTCAAGAGGAAAGTGACAGTTCAGACTCTGGTGAACCACAACTGGAAACCCCACCACCTGGAACTGAAAACAATCTGTTTGATAGGTATGCTCCAACCTATTATATCTACACTGCTTCCACTCATTTTCAATTGAAATGCAACCTATTATAAATGAAACTGTATTATTCATAAAGTGACACCATATTGTATGTAAACCGACACTGAATAGTATGCCTGACATATGTGTATATATATATATATATATATATATATATATATATATATATATATATATATATATATATATATATATATATATATATAGTAGGAACTGAAACCGAAGTTACAATTAACTGATACTGTAGGTGTACATAACTGATACTGTAGGTGTACATAACTGAAACTGTATATATATATAACTGAAACTGACTTGTTTATCAAGTGATACTACATTATATGCACTGTATCTCTATATGCTGATGCATGCATGATCCTCCATGAAACTGCAGTTTGATTTCTGAGCCTGACATTGATGACAACAATGAAGATGTTATAATTGATAAGACAAAGAGGATCAGGAACCTGCCGTTGCGCCTAAGGTCCCCATACTGGACAACAAATGTTGAAAAGCTGAAGAATGTCGGTCCAAAGGAAAAGTTGATTTCAGACTATGCTTTCCTTGACCCAACAGAAGAACAACCATTAAGGTATAAAGCACACTTAACACCCACTCTCTAATATACAATTTTGAATGCTACCTACTTTATTTATATACATTTTCAAATATGACAGTGAACAACTGTTTGGCCATGAGGGGTACTACATCAATAGAGAGCAATTCCAGACCTTAAGAAGTGCTGAGCTTGAGAGTATATTCTTAGATGTTTGGTGTCTAAGACTGAATATGTTGGATCCAAGCCGTGGGATTGATAAGCCAAAGAGGATATACTTCACAACACAATCTTTTGTAAACAAACACCATTACTATTTTTCACGTTATGCATATTTACTTATGAATAACATCCTTTAATGTACAATGTATACTCTACAGCTCCAACTTGACACTCCACCAGATTGGGCACCACACCACCAGTCACATAGACAAGAAGACTTTGAGCAGTGTCTAACCACCGAGATACAGAACATGGGGAATGTCGATATTAGTGATGCAAAATTGGTAATCATTTCTTTTTCAAAATATTATATTTACAGTTAAACATACTACTACTGTTTTCTAATTTTTTTCTTTAAAAAAAACATTAAAAAATCAAAACAGGTGTTCTTTCCCATTTACCGGCATCATCACTTCTTTGTCTTGTGCTTAAATTTCATTACATCAAAGTTTGAAATCATTGACAACCTGCCACTCCTCAAAGGGCTGAAAATTCAAAGCAAGTATGGTGACTGTCCACAGCTGCTTGTAAGTCATCTAGTTACTTACTTCAATACTCAAAACCAATTCACCTATAATTCATATCTAATTACTTCTGACATGCAGCAAAATGCATTTGCATTATTCCTTGGAAAGAATGGAATGAAAGATATGCAGGCAAATGTGAAAAAACTGACTGTTGACCTAGTTAAAATGAGTTGGAGATCATCAGCTAACAAGATTGACTGTGGTTTGTACGCAATGAGACATATGGAAACCTACATGGGGGATCAGAACTGGAAATGTGGGTTTGTTCCAAAGAAACAGGATCAAAATGTATGTACATATAATACTTTACATATTTATACTACTCAAATTCTCTGACACAAAACATAGTTAAGTGATGTGTACCAACAAAATGCAGGATCTCTACTTGATGTCTCTACGAGCAACATATGCAGCCAGAATTATCATGATGCCAACCAATCAGTACAGAGCAGAAGTCCTGAAGAACGCCAAGACAGCGTTTGAAAGCAACAAATAGATCACTATGATAAACGGACCAGCTACGAAAATGTGAATGTTTGTTTTTGATATGACAAGAACATAAGTCGCCTAAATGGTGTCAATATTTTTGGGTACCAAATCACATATACCATTGATATTTTGGGTAGATTATCATCTTGTTTACAATTTTTGTTGACTGAAAGACGATGTTGTTTGGTTGTAAAGTTTTCTCACTGAACACACTGATGGTTCTTAACTTCAAGCTTTTTTGTTAATCAAGTATAATGATGCAATTCCATATAAATGTTTTTAGTTTCAGTTTATTACACATACACTTTAAGTTCGTATCTTATACATTATCAGTTCATTACACTTATAGTTTCATTTACTAACATATGAAAATATTAAAGATATTATATTCAGTTTCATTTTGCATAAACTAAAGTATCATTTATTATACACTACATTATCAGTTCATTATATTTATAGTTACATTATAATATATATGAAAATGTGAGAGACATACTGTTTAGTTTCATTCTCCATACACTGTGGTATCATTCTATATACACTACAGTATCATTTAAAAATATCTATGACTTCATTTAAAAACATAAAAAAATAATATGTCAAACATGCAGCAGACTTTCATACTACAAAAAACTATGCTACCATGACAACACACATACTATCTAATATCCAAACCGATCCAATCCAATATTACAATGATTGTAATTGACCTATCAACTAGATTTAACCAAACCTAACTCGTGACTGCCGCTAGAGGGATGAACAAAATAACCACTGCCAACAATATTAGCAACAACTCCTTCAACAGATGCCTGCACTGCAGCCTTTGTACTCATTTCAGCAATCTTGACACCCAACTTCCGCCCTCTCACTTGGTTATACTTCTTTTCAATTGTGCTAATATGCCTCCTATTGCGTTCACCTTTCGCCCTATTACGTGCTGGATTTTGAATTACACCAGCTATCTGTTCTTCACCATCTTCAATGACAATAGGACCAATATCACCTTCAACCTTCCTCCTAGCATCCTCAAAAGCATTTTCACACACTTCCCGAGCCTTGCAATTTGCTTGGCTGGATAAAACTAACTGCTGAAACTTCCTACCCATTTGAATAACCCAAACAGATGACGCAATGCTAAGAATATTCAAGGAACTATCACTGCTTATTATTCTATCTTCAATACCCTTTTTGGTCCATCTTTTGATAATGTACTTATCTGGTATTGCTGCAACACAGTGGACATTAAAAATGCGTAAAGAATGTGAGCATAAAATACCCATCTCTGAAAACAACATACAGCTACAAGATATATCCAAATCATTCACTTTGAAATACACTTCATGACGAATGAGATCAACGTCAGGACGCCACACATGATACTTTATCTCATTACCACTTCCCCCAACAGATTCTTGATGGCATGAAGTCCCTTTCAAAAACTGTTCCTCAAAAAGATAATATATCTCAATAGTGTATATGTCCCTAGCATGTGAAAGGAGCTTCACATGATTCATCACCATAGGTGCCAACCCTTGTGAACAACGCACATTTTCACCGTTTTCCCTACTTCTCCACTCAGAAACTACACTAACAAATGAATTATAAAAATCACACAACCCAGCTGTTTTTGATAATCTTCTAGGTATTGAATGATTCGTAGACTCGCTCCTTTGAGATGATAAAATACCACCAGAGAAATATTCTTTACTAAATGCAGGACACCATTTCTCCCTAATAGAATATAGCTTATTTAACCAAACATTTTTATGGCACCCATATTCTGTCATCATCCTGAAAAAAAAATATAAAGAAAAAAAAAAGAACATGAATTTAAACCTATACTGTATATTTCTAAGTTGATGATCATATTTCTAAGTAGAGGGGGTATAGGGAATGCCGAATAAATCCAGCTGAGCTCTACAAACAAATACAATCATCAACTGTTAATCACTGACACAGTATCATTTTATCAAATAAGCAGTATCATTTCATACAACCTATAATATCATTTAATATCTAAGGTACTATCAATCAACATACAGAACACAAATTCACCAGAATATAAAACACTACATAATATCATTCTGAAAAAATCAGTAAAAATACCTGGTCCAATAAAACTCAAATTCAGCTTCGGTGTCAATGTACTTCAAAAGAAAATTGAAAAGCTCTAAGAAACCTTTTTTATTTCTCAGACTTTTTATGTGCTTCTTCGAATTCTCCCCAATGTGCCATATACAAAGCCTATGATTTGAATTCGAAAATACTTGTGCGATTCCAGCAGCCATGGCAGCACACTGATCAGTCATTACTGTTTGAGGATGCTTACCACCCATTGATCGTACAAATACTTTGAACAACCAAACAAACGACTCTATCCTCTCATTGAGTAAAAACCCACAACCAAACATCACATTCATGCAATGATGATTCATTCCTACAAAAGGGGCACATATCATATCATATCTATTTGTACGGTATGTTGTATCGTGTACAACTAAATCACCAAACAAATCATAATCAGCCTTCATTTGACCATCCCTCCAGAAAAAGTTACACAGCCTTGCATCCTCATCAAGTTCAAATTCAAAATAGAAATCAGATTCATCCATTTGTCTCCTTCTAAATATCTCAATCAAGCTATTAGAATCAGTGCCATCTAGATGCTTTGCAGAATCTGAATATATCATGTTATACGCATCCCTAGGAGTAAATCCAACAAACGGTGACCCTCCTGACTGACATTTTAAGAAGCGAATACCATCCGATAAGGGGACCCCACTCCTCTTCATGTTTTTTAAACATGTCAGCTGATTCTCAGACACTTTCCTATGCGATCTAAGCATATAACTTGATGAAGCCGGACACAGTTCATGGTTATGCTCCTTCACATGTTTAGTAACAACCCATTTCCCATTTGAATCTATATCAAATTGACACATTGCATTACATCCAGACCTAGTAACTATCTTTGAGTAACACTTATTAGGATTGTCTGGTATTATTCTAAAACCAGACTTAGAACAACAAAACACTTTCGTCTTCAAAATCCGAGTGCCAGTAACATAATACTGTTTGCCCTTTCTAGTACTAAACCCCATACGAAACGCATAATCATTGTATTTACCAAATGCATCTTCTATTGATCCAACAGACAGTCCCAACAATTCTTCATTGTCTGTGATTTTATTAAAACATCCCTTTAACATTTATACTGAAACTATATATACTACATTAGCATTCTACTAACACTATTGTCCATTAAACATGAAACTGACTACCATGGTTTTAAAAACACAACAAATTCAAAATCAGTTAAGAATCGAACTAAACATTTAACCTGGAATAGCTGACTCTTCAACAATAACATGTTCAGATGTACCATCAACAGCAATCGAATTGTCAAAATCATCTGCAACCAAATAAAATATAAACTGACACTTCAGGTCACTAAAACCGACACTATATTGTTCAATAACCGAAACTACAGCGATATCAGCATGAAACTGCGTAACATGGTCCTGAATAATATAAAAATCAAATAAGAACATGAACAAGAACATTAATGCATTTAATACCTGGAATATACTCATTATCGTCGACAAAATTTGTACACGGAACATCGAACGCAATCGGCGAAATACATTCACCGGCGACCGGAATATGATCTTTACCTGCAACAAAAAAAAACCATAACATATCGGCAAATTATACTCAAACAATAACAACATCACACAAGACTGTAATACATAGTATAATGATATACACCTGCAAATACTGAACTGTTCTCATCAACGATCATTGAATTCGAATCAATCTCCTCAATCCTGTTTGTAACTACTATTTTATTCATATTTCCGATCATAGAAAACAATACAACAATTCGACTTATATCAAAACTATATCAATTCGAAGAATCGAATCAGGAACAGATCGAAGAATCATAAGAAAAAGAAAGGAAAAAGGAAAGAACGACAAATCTAATAAAAGGAAAGAAATACGACTTCAAAATAGGAAAATAACGACGACTGATAGAAATTAGCCGTCCGGAAACAATTAACGGCGACGTCTGAACCGCGCCCTAATTAATGGTAAACGGCGTCGTTTCATACCCTCGGTGCATAATGGATTATGCACCGCGGTGCATAATATAATTTGCCAAAATTAAACTAGACATGATATTAATTGGGCCGTTAATTCAATTTTAAATATTAGATAAAGTCCTTTGAAATCAGTAAGAAGTGTAAGGGAAAATATATATTTTTATACTCTCAATTATTCTTAGCTAGTTGTTTTAATTTCTAATTTCTATCCTTGTAATATATATATATATATATATATATATATATATATATATGTATTTTAAAATTTTATTATCTTTCTTTAATTTATAACCTTTTCGATTTAGGTATTTAATTTGCAAAATAGAGAATTAATAACTTTTTTTTTTTAAAAAATCATATTTAAGTGCGGTACATCTTCCCTATTTTACCTACACGTAAATACGTAGTTGTTAAAATAATTTTTTCTTTTAATTTTATAAATGTAATATCAGCACTAAAAAATTATAATTAAATAATAAATGTTAAAAAGTACTAAAATACCATGCACTAAATAATTTGTAAGAGTTTAATAGTTTTGTTTTTATATTCAATGCTTAAAACTGCAACCTTTTTGAAGAGTTAGCGTATATATTGCAACAGTAAAAGATTAAAGACTAAAACCGATAGCAAAATTAAAAATAATTGAGGAACTAAAACCGCTAGCAAAGAACAATCGAGGACTAAAATTGCATCTTTTCCTAAGTGTAATTATACCTAGCTACTATTAAGTTACTAACAACTTATTATTGAGTTAATGTTGAAGTACACTTTTATTAATTTTTTTTTTTTTTTTGGTGAAATCACTTTTATTACTTATGAAATTACCATGTGAACTCCCAAGTTCTATTCTTGAGTTCTACTTTCACTTTCAAATTCTAGAGGTAGACATTTAACTTGGACCAACATGATGAAAATAGGCTATCTTGTTTAATTTGTCACATCAGAGAATAAAATTGACGGAGTAGAATTTGGATGTACATGCAATAGCACTATATAACTTATTCAGAATTGATTTAAGGATAACTTGTCCGTTTAAACAATATTTTATAACTACAATAAAAATTTTAAAGACCCTTAATATAGTTCATATATGAGTAATTACCCGCCCTCAACTATTTGAAATTGTGTCTAAATTGATTTTTTTTTTGGGTGGACTGAACCTTATAATGATTAAAGCCAACATACTTTCATAGCTTTTATGGAATTTCCCGGCCAACTAGGGACATATGATGAAAAGAGAAGCTAACTAATCAATTGAGACTCTAGGAGTCAATCACTAAAAATTTATCTAGCTATCTTCACTAGGAAATATTCAACCCAAGAAGAAAGAGGAAGGGGAGAAAGGACGAGAAAAGGGTTGGAGGAGAGGGGATATAGTTTCTCCGAAGAGACTGTTATCTCCGGAGAAACTCTGTCGCAAAGCGTGGCGCATGAGCAATCGACACGCACCAATCGTATGGCGCGTATTGCTCACATGCCACAAATGACGCGCAAATGGTGGGAGATATCCGGTTCCGACAAATTTTTGTATGGACTATGGTCCACACAATGTTATGTGGACCATAACAAAAAGTACATTTTTAATATACTAAATGTACATTATATTTGTACTGAATGTACATTATACAATATAATGTAGACTCAGTACACAAATAATGTACATCCCCCGAATACAATATACATTTTTAATATACTAAAAGTACATTATTTTACACTATACAAAATATGGTCCACATGGTTCACACGATAATGATTGTTGTTTCCCACCATCCGCTATATATTAAAAAAAAAAAATTGTATTTTCCCCCAAACTTAAAAGACTCTAATGCTCAATTGCACAGAGGCTTATTGGCTTTTTGTTTCGTTTTTTTTTTAAATAAAATTTAATTGTTATTTTATTTTTAAAATTTAATTAGTTGTTGGAATATATATTATTTAAATTTTAATATCAAATTTTTTATTTTGTTATTTAAATTTATTTTCATTTAAAATTATAATTATAAAATTAAAGATGCACCACCCTTATTGCTATTTACACCGCCCTTTGATAGGTGTTCTAGCTTTATAGGTGGTGTAAATAGAACAACTTGTTATTCGCACTACCTTCCTTAAAGTTATTCAAATATTAGAAATATTATTTTAATAAACTTAAATTAAATAATTATTTAAAAATTTAAAATTTAAAAATTAAAAAAAAAAAACACTCGCCTTCTCCGTTGAGAAGGCAACCGGGTTGCCTTCTCCGGTGAGATGGCGACCTGGGTTGCCTTCTCTGGTGAGAAGGCGACCCCTGGCTTTCTCAACGGGGAAGGCGAGTATTTTTTTTAAAATTTTTTAATTTTTAATAAAAAATTATTAATGATATGTTTTAATCTTCTAAAATTATTATGGAATCTCGTAAATTACATTTGATCAGGCTATGTACTTGTTGAAATTTTCACATTTTTACAATTCCAATGTTATTTACACAAAATTTTCTGTAGGGGTGGTACAAATAGCAACACCCATATTAATTATAGAAAAGTGAATAAAATAATATATGATGTGTAAGGGTGTAAAGAAGTAGGACCCAAAAAAAAAAAAAAAAAAAAAGAGAGAAAACGAGAGAAGGATGGAAGAGAAAATATAAGATCAAATTATATGGTGATTTGAAAGAGTTGGACGCACAAATTAGAGAGATAATGGGAATAACATGGCTTATACCATCTCATTTGTAGGATTTAAATTAATTATCAATCTTTTTTTTTAAAGAACTTTTTGGCTTACTTGAATAAGAGAAGAGAGAGGAGAGAGAATAAATTGAGATAGTATTGTTTTAGTTTTTTTTTTTTAATATTTTTGACATTTTGTTAATGATTTAAAAACAAGAAAGAAAAAGAAAAAAAAAACAAAAAATAAAAAGGATATCGTGCGCATTGCGTGTACCAACAACAACAACAACCAGCTATTACCCTTTGAGTTATTTTTGTTTTCTTTTTAAAATTTTTTTTCTCATAAATGACTTTCCAAAAACCCATTTTGAGGTTTTAGAGTTGGGTATATGGTGTCAACCTCTATTATATGATAAAGGTGGAATTATTATTGTTATTATTATTATTACCTCTCATTTTATTTATCCTTTTTGTTAGTAAATAATATTCATTTTGTAAAATTTTTGAACACTACTAAGTGAGAGTTTCTGTGTTCCTCGAAATACCTTGATTAAATTGCCATTACTTAAACTGCTTTTTCATATTACAATTACTGACTCAATTACAGTTTAATCATACATTAGGTTAGATTATTAATTGTGCGGTAGGTAATTTAAATCAACACAATCTTTGATGACCCAGTTCGATGCAAACCACACCTACATCTAAGGGACCACACACACCAACCATGGATCCAATCTTCTATCTCAACAGATGTTCAAACAGGTTGTAAGAGAATAATCTTACCAGTATGTGTTGTACCCCACACTGTATGTACCCAATTTGCAAGACACATAGATTGATTGATTTGGAGTTTGGACATCTTCAACACTGTTTTTCGGCCCTGTAAATCACTCACTGCTGCACCATAGCTAATAATATGGAATATGGTGCTTGAAATGATCAAATCACTTGTGTTTGTTCTCTCCAAGATTAAAGAAAATCTAGGTTAGTTGTAGATGAATATCTTGAGAGAATATTTTCAAATTATTTCTTGTAAAACTTGTTAAGAGAGGTTCTTAAATTAAAAAAGTAATCATCTGATCTCTCTATAACTAACTCTTCTCTATGAATATATATACTGTGAATTTTTGTGAGTGTAATTTCCAAGTTATTTTCTTGCAATCCAATTATTCTTTCACCCTTGAGGTATTAATTGAGAGAATAGTACTCGACCATCGGACATCTCAGTTAAATAAGGATAATCTTGTAAACTACCTCAAAGCAGTTATTTCCACATCTAGCTATAATATATTATTTATTGATTTATTGATAGATAAAAATTATAATTAATGGTTTTTTTCTCTCGCCTCCTTCGCGAGCGTTTCTCTCCCTTATTGTTTCTAGGGTTTACGCCGTTCTACGTTGAGTTTACCGATGGCGACTGACAATCCCGACGACATCTCGCAATTGTGTGCGAACTTGACTCTGGCCGATGTTGAGGATGAAGACCAATCCATACAAATCCCAGGAATACAGATCACCGACCAGATTGGAGAAGCGAGTTACTATGCGGTTGGCAGAGTGGTGACTAATAGGCCGATGAAGTTCTCCTTTTTCCAAGACACCATGGCGGCAGTATGGCAGCCGGCGATGGGGCTAACAATGAGACAACTTCAACCCCAACGGTTTTTGATCCGATTTTATCACGAAACTGACCTCAACCGGATCATAGAAGGGGGGCCATGGGCCTATGAACAAAATTTGCTGATCATGCAGAAGTTACAGCCAGGAGAAGACCCTGAGGCAACAGTACTGAATCACGCAGACTTCTGGATACAAATACATTCTCTGCCCGCGGGGCTGCGTTCTGTAGTGGTGGTTTCGGCCATAGGTTCTTTCCTCGGAACTTTGGTTGAGACAGATGACAGGAACTTCAGAGGTTCTATGCGTACCTTTTACCGCGTACGTGTGAATATTGACATAACAAGGCCGTTGAAGAAGCAGATGAAGTTGAAGAAGGATAATGGAACATGGGCGTTTGTGGACTTCTGGTATGAGAGGCTCCCAACCTTTTGCATTATCTGTGGAGTCATTGGCTATGGAGACCGGGTGTGTCCTAAACTTGTTCACGACATCGATACTAAAGCAGATAAGCCGTTTGGAACGTGGCTATGGGCTGGAACCAGACGTAATGTCCCCAGTGTCGGACAAAGATGGGTGCCGCCGGAGCTAGATGCTGACCGAGAAGGATGGAAGGCACCAGGTGCGTGTAATAGTGACTCATCTAAGACTAGTGAAACCAGTGCAGAGGGGGCAGCGTGTAATGACACAGTAGATGACGGTTCTGATGTTGTTGTGAATGAGCCGAAGAGGAAAAGAGTGGATACAACTAATGCCACAGTGGCAATGGATTGTGAGACAGGAACTCCAAAAAACGGGCAGAAGGCGGGTCTTGCGACGTAAGCCCGCCAAGAATTATGAGTCTTCTAACTTGGAACTGTTGAGGGCTTGCCAACCCGACGGCAATTCGAGTTCTTGCGGACCTAATCCGCACTAAGAGGCCAAGAGTGGTATTTCTTATGGAGACTTTTTTGGATAAAGGGAGAATGGAGAATGTGAGAGTGCAATTGGGTTTTGAGAATCTTTTTTGTGTTGATGCAGACGGACACAAAGGCGATTTGGCTTTACTATGGTCTAGTTGTGTGGACCTTCAAATTTGTTCTTACTCAGACAATTTTATAGACACCACGCTAGCTTTGGATGTTGGTAGTCCAAGCTGGCGGTTCAAAGGTTATTATGGTTTTTCCCAAAGACAAAGACGGCGTGAAGCATGGCAGATGCTCCGAAGGTTGGCAGTACAGAGTGCTGAACCATGGGTCATTATGGGAGATTTTAACGATCTCATGCACCAGTCTGAGAAGATATGGCGAGCACCACATCCGCCATGGTGTATCACTGGTGTTACTAATGCGGTTGCCGATTGCGGGTTACAGGATTTCCCCTTTAGCGATAATCAGTATACATGGGTGCGCTCACGAGGTACCCCGAATATGGTTGAGGAGAAACTGGACCATATTCTTGTATCGGAGGATTGGTTATCCCTGTTTGAGGGTACGACTGCATGCTCACTTGCGTGCCCGTACAGTGATCACTTACCCCTGATTTTAACCCCGGTGGTTACTACAACAGTCCGGCAACGAAAACGCTTTTTATTTGACAATATGTGGCTTCGCGAAGACAAATGCCGGGAAATAGTTTCACATAGTTGGGACCGTACGAGGGGCTTGGATGTTTTAACCAGGATCGAAAGTTGTGGACGTGACATCTGGAGATGGGGTAAAAATTATAACCGAGACTTCCAGCGCAAAATTGAGCAGTGCAAAAGCCGTTTAGACCAGCTGCGGTTATGGCGCGATGAGGATGGCATGAGGGAGTATGGTATTTTATGTTGAGGGTGAATTGCTACATTTACTTAAGCAACAACACTATTTCTGGAAATAAAGAGCGAAGGAGCACTGGTATAAAGGAAGGGATTTGAACAGCAAGTTCTTTCATAATTCGGTCAAAGCTAGGAAAAGGCGAAACAAAATACGAAAGCTGAAAGATAATGACGGAAGTTGGGTAGCGGATGAGGCTGCAATTGGTCAGGTTATGTTGGGCTATTTCAACAAACTATTTTAGGCAGACCAAGGTGATCTGGCGGAGGTTATAAACAACATTGCAACAAAGTTAAGTCCCCGTGATAACATTGCGCTGCTGCAGACAGTGAACATTGAGGAGGTACGAGTAGCGTTATTTCAAATGCACCCGGACAAGTCACCTGGACCTGACGGTCTAGGACCGGGATTTTTTCAGTATTTTTGGGACATAGTGGGCGGGGCAGTCACTGCTTTTTGTCAGTCCTTTATTGAGACGGCTACTCTACCAATGAGGGCGAACGATACTTACATCGTCCTAATTCCAAAGAAGGCAACCCCGGAAACGATGGCAAATTTAAGACCAATAGCACTCTGCAACGTGGTGTATAAAATTTCTGCCAAGGTTTGTGCGAATAGAATGATACCTTTGCTAGAAGGGCTCATTTCCGGTGCCCAGAGTACTTTTGTGCCTGGCCGCCTAATAACAGATAATATTATGTTAGCCTATGAGGTTCATCATTACTTAAGGAGAAACACCCAGGGTAAAGAGGGGATCGTAGCATTGAAGGTGGATATGAGCAAGGCGTATGACCAGGTTGAATGGGGTTTTCTTGAAGCAATATTGCTGAAAATGGGTTTTGCAGCACCGTGGGTCAGTATTCTAATGGAGACCGTAAGTTCAGTTCAGTATCATATTCTGCATGAGCAAAGCCAGCTTGGTCCAATCATTCCTGGTAGAGGCCTACGTCAAGGTGATCCTTTGTCACCATACCTCTTTTTATTTATTGCTGAGGGTCTTAGTGTGTTAATTGAGAGGCGGATGAGCACGGGTAGACTGCATGGTGTAACTGTGGCACGGGGAGCACCACCTATTTCACATTTATTATTTGCAGATGATTGCTTTCTGTTCCATCGGGCCAATACCCAGGAGAGTGAAAACATGCGTGATTTACTGGACACATATTCTAAAGCCTCGGGGCAGAGAATCAACTATGACAAGTCCATAGTCACTTTCAGTGCAAATGTACCGCCACCCATGCGCACGGAGGTGCAGCGAATTCTAGAGGTAACAGAAGGTGATACGACAGGCAGATATTTGGGATTACCATCCCTTGTTGGTAAACGAAAGAAAGTCATCTTGGGTTTTCTTAAAGACAGGATCCTTGCGAAGGTCCGGAGTTGGAATGCAAAGTTCCTCTCTCGTGCTGGGCGTGAGGTGCTTTTGAAGAATGTCATCCAGGCAATGCCATCCTATACGATGATGGTATTTCTTTTACCGACAGGTCTATGCAAGGAAATTGAGGTCCTTATGAATGAGTACTGGTGGAGTGGAACTGTGGGGGCAAGAAAAAGGGTTGAGATGGAAGTCCTAGGGCGGTTTGTCGGTCCCAAAAATTGCAGGAGGTATGGGTTTTAGGAAGCTTCGGGAGATGAACTTGGCACTATTGGGTAAACAAGCTTGGCGCTTGATCACCAAGCCAACATCATTGGTGGCAAAGGTGTATAAAGCTCGGTATTTTTCTAAATGCTCCTATTTTTATAGAGTTCAGGGAGGAAATCCATCTTTTATCTGGAAGGGCTTATTGGAGGTACAGAATGTGTTACGGCAGGGTTGTAGGCGACGCATTGGGAATGGCCTAGACACAAAAATTGGCCGGCATGCATGGCTGCCAGACGAGGAGGAGCCCTATGTACATACGCCTATGCCAGAGGTTGAGTATGGTGCTCCTGTTGCAACATTATTTAATACTCAAGGTACGGGATGTGATGTTAATCGTTTAAGGGATCTTTTTATTGACCGGGATGTGAATCTAATTTTGAAAGTCCCTTTGAGTATGTGAAAACCACATGACTCGTGGTTTTGGTATTGGGATCATAAAGGGGACTACACGGTAAAGTCGTGTTATAAACTGCTGATCGGCATAGCACAAGATGATAGACTATGGTCTATTATTTGGAACCGAGATGTGCCTCCCACGGTGAAGCAATTTTGTTGGCAGTTGGCTTCATCCTTTTTGCCAACGAGAGATGCATTGCGCATGAAGCATATTCACTGTTCTTTGATCTATCATATGTTCAGGAGGGAAGATGAAACGACATGCCATTTATTTGCTCAATGCACTAAGTTGGTAAAGCTTTGGAACTTAGTAGGGCTCCCGGCATCATCAACTGCTTACGGTAATAATGTGGTCGAATGGCTATTTGGTTATATTAAGATGTTGAAGGGTGATTTGCTATCTAAGTTCATAATGACTTGATGGGGTATTTGGGTTTCTAGGAATGACTTTGTTTGGAAAGGGCTTGCTTTTGACATGCATGTGTTGTTAAGCAGAATGCTCAAGCACTGGGCAAATTGGAAGCTAGCTAATGAGCAACCAAACACGCCTAAGCCACCTACCGTAAGGGACTATTGGACTGTGCCAAACCAGGGGAGATTGAAATTAAACACAGACGCAGCACTAAATTCAACAGATAATATGATGGGTCTTGGATGGGTTCTACGAGATGATGAAGGTAAGTTTATGGCCGCGAAGAATGTGTCAGTGCATGGCATTTTTGATGTCAGGGAGGCTGAAGCGTTGTGTTTGAGAGAAGCTTTGAGTTGGCTAAAGGACACTGGTATGGGAGGTGTTGATGTGGAGATGGACTCCCAAGTTGTTTTTAATGCTATTTCCAGTACTTCTTTTTATTCTGCTTTTGGTTTATTGATTGATGATATTAAAGGTTTGGCATCTGAGATTGATGATGTCCAATTCCGATTTGTAAGGCGATCTGCGAATAGTGCCACCCACATTGTTGCTAGGGAGGCCTTTTCTGAGTCAGGTTGCGGGGAGTGGTTTGACATCCCACCCCTCTTTCTTGTAAACACTATTGATCGTGATTTAATGCATTAAGTTTTGATTCTCAAAAAATTATAATTAATTAAATATATACATTTATATAATATATTATACTCTGTATTTATTAAATATAAATATTAAATAATGTGCAAAGGGTATTTTTGGTATTTGAAATATAAAAGTTATTCCCAAGAGCATGAGAATATCTAATACCAAGGTCCCCTAGGAATGGCTATTCCACTTGCAAAGGGAATAACTCATTCTTAGGAATAGTATTCCCATGATAAAGTGACCGAACCAAACAATGGAATAGGTCTATTCCAAGTAATATCATTATATTCCTGACCTATTCCATGAACCAAACATGTCATTAAAGTAAATAGAAAAAGACCTTTATAGTGGATCTCAGGCCTGGCCTTGGGCAAGGGCAGGTTAGGCCTTTGCCCAAGGCCAACCACCCACCCCACATTTTATATATACTATAGGTTGTTGGTATAAATATTTAATATACATTTAGAATTTTAAAATGTGTATGAGTTAGCTTAATTAGTTGGAAGGTTTTATGAATCTTATGTTAAAGATCACTTGGTCAAACTGGTTCCCCATGCATATATTTACATTATATTATCTTTTTATAATTATAATGAGATTTATAATATAGATTGATTTGTGGTTCATATTAAATTTTGAATCTATTTTTGTACATTATATTACCTTTTTATAATTATAGTGATATTTATAATGTAGATTGATTTGTGATTCATATCAAATTTTGAATCTATTTCACTCTGAGTAATTTGCTACTTATATTTAAAACATGTGCTATTTTGTGAACTTTATGTATATGCAGTACGGAGTATATATTTCATGATGATTTAGTTTTGAAAAATGTTTTAAAAAATAGTTTACTTTTTTAAAACATTTATCTAGTTAATGTAGTTTAGAAGTTCTATTGTCCGTCATTGTATTCAAATTAATCTATAAAAAAACTTGAAATTGATCTAACTAAAAGAAAAAAATATTTATAAATATGAGAATTTTTATAAAAATGAGATCAATAGAGAATATGTGCGATGTAAAATGTGTTTTCTATTCGAACTATTTTATCAAATTAATTATGTTTCATATTTTTTTATAAATATATTTTATCACGTTTTAAAGTGTTTAATTTATTGCCCTCAATAATTAATATTTCATGCTTTGCTATTATTTGTAAGTTTTGTTTTATAAATTTTTATTAATAATTAATTTATTATATTTATAATGATAACAATGTAAATGTCTATAAGTTTATATGGTTTTAAATTCTTTATTCATTTTTATAAACTACAATTCTTTATTTATGAAGACACTGATGCATTTATTGATTATTTTGAATTAGGAAAGCATCTATTTATAAAAATTTGTAAATCTTATTTCAAGTTATTTGGCATTAGCATTTTTTCATTATTTAATGTAATTGCTTGAATTTCAGCAAATAATTGCCGAATTATACGTGCGATCGCGTTTGGTTAGTTTTTATTACCGCTTTAATCATTACGATTCGATAATCGGATTAGGCCCTCCGGTTGAATGGTGGCGCCCGTGAACCCAGATAAGGGAGTTCGCACAAGGGTCAATGCGACAGGATCGAGCTTTAATTTTTTGAACACCTCCAAGTATAGGACGTTCACGCTGCTCCAGGTATCCACCATTACCCGCTGGACATCGACGCCTTTACTTGATGTATGTAAGTCTAACTAGGAAATTCCGGGTTAACGTGATAGTGGGTAAGAGGTTCTCGGGCTTCAAGTAAAGGCGTCAATGTCCAGCGGGTATATATGCGGTATATTTAGCAGGTTAACAACAAGTTTGCACTGATTGGGATGACATGTGTATATTTTATTTTATATTTTATTATTATTATTATCCTACTAAGCATTTGACCATCTTCTTCGATGCCATGTTTTCCTTATTTAATTTCCTAACCTGTTGGTTACTGTATTTAAAAATAATTTTAAAAATTTTATTTTAATAATTTCAAATAAAATAAATATTTTGAAATCTAAAATTTAAAAAAAAAAAAAAAACAGCTTCCTTGGCTGGGAAGGGAAGGATTGGATCATGGGCCTTTGATTAAATAAGGTTAAAATTCAAATATCTTACCAACCAAGCTAATTCACATTACTAACTATAAAACATATGTATATAAATTACTTATACTCAATACATATATATATATATATATATATATATATATATATATATATATATATATATATATATATAAGAGATAGGATGGGGCCCTCCCCCAAGCATGGGCCCTGGGCAAGGGCCCAGCCTGCCCTTGCCCCAGGGCATGCCCTGAAAGCACCAAACAAATAAAAGAAGGTAGTCCAATTACCTTCATTTCAAATAGCTAGGGTTTTGAATAGAAGGTAATGGCATTAGTACTTTACACATTTTTGTTAGGGTTTTGAATCAATACATTTTTGTTCAATTGATGTCAAATCCACACATTTTTAGCTATGTCTCCGGGACATCTCATTATCTTACAAAAACAGAGCTTAATTACCTGGTGGTAAATCTCACACACAGTGTCACCTTTCTCATTGCACCACCTTTGCACACATGCCCTATGTGCGTACTGAAACCGCCCAAAACAAATACAAGCAAATTAAGAATGATCGAATTCAGAATTATATATATATATATATATATATATATATATATATATATATATATATATATATATATATATAGAATTACAATCATATAAGAACCCATCTTTAGGTAGGAACATAAGAACTAATCTTAGCCTTTTATCTTGATCATCAATGGTTTATATTTTTAAATGTTTTAATAGGTTATTTTACATTAGAGGGATTTTATTAAAGGCAATTAGGGGTAGTTTAGGATTTTTAACCGTAGATCTGGGGTGTGATTGCGTATTATTCGACTTACGCTGCTTCTATTCTCCTCTCATTCAGACATTAGTTTGGAATTGAATAGGAGTCCTTCGTTTTCCCTGCTTTGTTCTCAATCCGATTCACGCCCTGTCGCCGTTCTCTTTCTTCAATTTGAAGTGTTGAATTCGAAGTTAACAATTGTGAGGAAGGTATATGCCTGCATATTCCAATATGATCATCAACATGGGTTTTTCTCTCTTTTTTTTCTTTTTTTTTTTTTTTAATGTGCTTGATTGGCTATTTTTTGGGTTATCAAACAACATTCTTCATCCACCGAAAACACATCAGTGGTAATGCCGCATCCGAATATGCAGATGTGGACCTGCCTAGTGTGATGACTTGTGCCAATTACTTGAAGCTTCTTCCATAATGCACCAAGGTATTAGTTTGATTTTATATTGGGATAGGTGAAATCTAAGCAAAGGTCTCCATTGGAGTCCCACGAAAACATAAATCAGTAACTCTTGTAAAGTCTTGCATTTTTGTTTGCTTTTTGTACATTAAATGATTTCTTCCCTTGTGAGCTTTTGTCTTAATTGCTCTCTTTTATATTTGGATTAGTCAAAATAATGCCATATTTACCATGATAAAGTGTGAAAGAATAGTTCTCCCTGTGCTCATAGCCATAAAGGAAGTGTTGTAAATAAGAGAGTTGAAATTTGGCATTCCTGATGCTGGACAACAGTAAAGTATATTGTTTGCCCAATGATGCTGATCTCAAGTATAATATTATAATTTATATATCCAAATTTTGCCATTGCAAATTGCGAGAGTTTGCCGATGGCGGACCACCATCGTTAAGCGTTTGAAGCACAGGGTTGCCCACCATGCATAGCAGGTAGACATGATTGCAACAAAGGAAATGCCAAGCCTGGGTCAACACATGTTGTTTTTCCCGCATGCAGCCAAAACACATTAACATTGTGTCACCCTCCCCACACTTTACATTTTGCTTCTACTTTATAATCAAACCCTTTATTTTATCATTTCTAGAATTACCATAATGTTTATGATGTACTATGTTAATTGTTTGATGAATTTAGATACAAAAACGTTATTGTTCATAGGATGACATAGTTTTTCTTTTAAAAAAATAAAATTAAATTTTGAGTGTACCCCAGGTATCTATTCTCAAATCAATGATTGATCATTAACGTTTGTCATACGTTTACTGTTAAACACGTTTAGGGGGTATTGGTGCATGCACAATCGTATACGGGTGCATGCGCTAACCTAAGTACACACGGTATTTCGTATATCAGTTTTCATGAGCATCATGGTACAAACTCGTTAACCAAATTGCACACACAATTCTATGTAAGTGCACAGACAATTCTATCTAAGTGCACACACAACACAATCCAAGTGCACACCAAAATGTGTAACATCTTTTCATATACAAATTAATTCTGCAAATTATGGCACACATAGTGTAACTCAAGTGCACACAGGCAACCCAAGTCCACACCCTAATCTATAAACCAAAGTGCACACAGTTCAACCCAAGTGCACGCTAACTTGTTTTTCGTCTTTTCATCAACACACTCATTATTTACGTTATGGCACATGCAGTTTAATCCAAGTGCACAACATTGTCTTTAACATCAATTTAGTTTTCGTGAATTCATTCTTTTAGTATTTTTGCACATTATGGCTCACACAACACAATCCAAGTGCACACCAAAATGTTTAACTTCTTTTCATACTTGAACTAATTCTGCAAATTATGGTACACACAATGTAACCCAAATGCACACCATAATCTATCAACCCAAGTGCACACCAACTTGTTTCGCACAATATGGCACACACAGTTTAACCCAAGTGCTCACCATAGTCTATCACATCAATCTAGTTTTCGGTGAATTCATTTTGTTAGTTTTATTGCACATTATGACACACAAAGTTTAACCCAAGTGCACACCAACTTTTTTAAAGTCTTTTCACACACACACTAATTATGCACATTACGGCACACACAGTTTTACCCAAGTGCACATACTATTCTATCACATTAACCCGTTGTCCGTGAATTCATTCTGTCATATAATTGCACATTATGGCACACAGAGTTCAACCCAAGTGCACACCAACATATTTAACGTC